AAAAAAAAAAAAAACTAGCCCAGTTAGGATTCCCCCCTTGCGAAAAAAGCGTTGCTGATCGTTGCAGATCGTTTGGAAATCGTTGTAGGTGGGTGTAGAGAGCTACACATCAGGGCATGGCCCTGTTACAACGCCGCTACTACGCCGTCTCAGAAGGTCTTCCTGTGGAGTATCACAGATCCGTATTCGTCAAATTCCTGCGGGGGGAAAGAAGTGGCATCCGTGGGTATGTGCCACTGTGCATATCTCTCTCCACGGGAAAGGATTTTCCACGTTTCAGGGTCCATGTTCACGTGGGGGCTTCCCCTCCGCGGCTGTCCCACCTGCTTCGAAATCCATATCTTCTTAAAGGTAGCCAAAGAGGCCAGAATGGATCCCCCGATGAATGTGCTGAACTTGCGCTCAGGCGGGGCGCTAATGCGAATCTGTTCGAGAAGAAAAAAAGGAGAAGTTGTGATAGGATGCAAAAAAAAAAGAAAAAGAAATGCATTCCCCTTTGGACACATGTACATACGAACGGAGGCATTTGATCAAACGAGGAATGGGCACGAAATTGGTGTTAGCACATTTTTTTCTTCTTGCTCTCTCTTGAAATTACCGTAATATCCTTTGGGGCGAATTTCCTTATTTCGTTCAGTAACCGATCGCCAAATCCTGTACAAAGAAACACACCCTCGTTCATATTTACAAAATGGGTCGCGGGGGGGAGGAACATTTAAAGGGTGCGGGGGACCCCCCTCCCTACCGGTGTCTCACTCAATATGGTTAAGCTCTACATTCAGGAGACGAACAATGATGAAAACGCGCAAACGAGCAGACGCGCAGACGCGCAAACGCCAAGGGGACAAGTGTGCCTCACCGTGAAACATGGTCGTGCCGCCAGACAACACGATGTGGGAGTATAGTGTCCGTCGTAGGTCCATGTCCGCTCGCGTTATGGACGTAACGATAAGTTCGGACAATCCTGTAGGGGAAAGTGCGCGCGTGAGGGGATGTATACCCTTAGACATCTGTGATCTGCGCAAAGAGTAACTTGTGGATATAATTCCCACCCAAGATGCACTTACCCAAATATTCCAGCCCAAGGATGGAGGGGTTGAAGAGAACCTCTGGGGCCCTGTATCTCTCCGAGCCGATCTGCAATTTGGAAATAGGGAAAAAGAGAGAATCGGCGCTCCTATATTATGTGTGTCAGAGGATCGAACGAGTGGACACACACGTAGGTGTATGCATGCAGATTCCACCCTGTAAATTCCACCCTGTAAATTGCACCCTGTAAATTGCACCCTGTAAATTGCACCCTGTGAGTTGCACCCCATTTTTTCGCCCACTCCACGAACCAGTATTTGCGACCCATCCGGCAGGATATAGGGCAAAGTCGTGAGGGCCTTCTCCGATGAGTTTTTCTCCTTGTTCATATTAAAAGAGACGTAGCAGCAGTTCTCCTTCATATTTTTTACGACTTCCATTTCCGCTGAGGTGTTAAACAGGTGGCCATTCTTCCTTAACAGGTAGCCCAGGTAGGCAGTGATGTCTCGGCCCGCGACGTCCGTCCGGGTTATCGTGTTCGTTATGCTATAGCCTGCGTTGGGATGCGTTGGGACGTGGTGGAAGGAAGCACATACATGTGAAGTGGCTTGTAAAGAGGAAAAAATGCTGGAAAAAAAAAAGGGTGCCAGCGAAATACTGCCAAAATAAGATGTGTCGCTTCTTCACTCTTTTGGGAGTTTTTTCCACTGGTAGCTTCTCTGGCCAGTTGCGGTAGGTATGCCCCCACTCCTCCATGTTCTGATTTGTTTGCCACATGTCTTGGCGATCCCCTAACAGGTTGGTGTGGCCCTCCCCCCTTAGTCGCCTGCCCCTCACTCACCCTCATAAATGGACACGCAGTGGCATACGCCGTCCCCGCAATCGAGCACTGTGCCGTTGGTCTTCCCACAGGAGTACAAAGATAAAATGGCCTGGATGGAGATGAACAGCGCAGGCACATTGAAAGATTCGAAAAAGACTTCCGCGATTTTTTCCTTGTTCTTCTGGGGGTTCAGTGGGGCCTCGGTCAGCAGCACGGGGTGCTGGCATGGGGGCGAAAAAAAAAAAAAAAAAAAAAAAGAAAAGAAATTACATATATATATGTACATGCGTATAAAACAAAGCCAAGGGGAGAAAATCCAATGCGCAAGCAGCATCGCAAGCAGACAAGACTCACCTCCTCCGAGTTTATCTTCATCGAGTTGTAAACGTGGATCCAGATATTTTCCATGTCGTTCCAATTCTCAATAATGCCGTGGTTGATGGGGTAGGTCACTTTGAGGAGGCCTCTGTACTCCTCCTAGAGGGGGGTGGAGCAACGTGTGTGTGGAGCAACGGCTGTATGTGGGGGGTTGCCTCCATACATGCACGTGCGCATGATTTGACTCTTCTCGTTAAGGCATCCCATTTTGAGTCGCACGAAGCAGGTCCGTTAACATCGTGCCTCTTCCATATGTAGGTTTTATTATGGCCCCATTTCGCCCCATTTCGCTCCACCTTACCGCCTTGTTCCCCACAAAGATGTTGCCCTCCACCGCTCCCGCCATGACTCGCTTATACTTGGGCCTCCCCACGCTGTGTGCAAAAAGAGGAGCGAATACGTGCAGTTCCAGGGGGCAGGAGCCAAGGGCGCATAAAAATTCACACTAATATGCAAAAGAGGAGGACGCGAATAAGCATCCCCAAGGGGGGGGGAAGTGACACTCGAGGGGGGCAAGCAAGACAAGTTGGTTTACCCCCCTGCTTGCTTAAACGCAGTGCCTCGGAGAAGTCACCCCCTTTTCGTCTTACTACGAAGGAAATACAAGGTTCGGAACGTCATCCCCTGCGAACCCCGATTTTACGTATCCACTCCCATTGTCTATTATGATAGGCTGATTTGAAAAAAGTTGTTTGGCATATTCGTTCATTCTGTGGAGAAGATTATACAGATATGTGTGTGTGGTGAAACTTCTTTTAGGAATAGGAGTGATTAAGGGGGAGAGGGTGCCACTTTGGTGAGTTCTCATGTAGGGCTTCTCTATCCCCCTCTACACACAAATACATGCACGTTCACGCTTCTATGGTGCGGGAAGAAAGCAGAAATTGATGCGCTTGTCCCACCTTTTTTCTTTTTTTTTAGCAAAAGGGGGTTACGGAGCTTCTCAGACACAGCCGATTTGGCTTTGCTTCTTCTATGTGTGACGCCTCTTCTATGTTTCACGCCTCTTCTTCTATGTTGTGCGCCGCTTTTTCTATGTCCCTTTTCCTTTCCTCCTTGCTCATATGCAGCGGAAAGCTACACAATGGTGTGCGCGCGAAGGGACGTGTCTGGATGCATACGTGAGCACACGATGAGGAGGGGTTAGCTCGCAAAAGGGGCATCGGCACATAAAATAAAGTCCACACAACTTCCAAGACTTGTTCTTTTGCTTTATTATTTTTTTTTTTCTTTTTCTGCTACTATGCGTAGAATTGAAAATAAGAAACTGTCCTTTCGTTTTGTTTCGTTGCATTGAATTGTGTTTCTTCATGTGTCAGATCCATGTCAAAATTTCGAATGAACAAAAAAAAAAAAAAATATCCTCACGTATGTATACACGTATAAAATGATCGCGCGGACGTAGGACAGTGCACTTTGCGGTCTAGTGTATCCATATGCGTGCCAAAATGGGACAGAGCGAATTTTCTTTTCTTTCGAGACGGGAAAACGGAACACTCGTGTCGTGCCATGTAATGAGAGAACAATGTGAGGACAACGTAAGCCTAAGAAACCTGACCCTTCAGCGACGAAGCGTAGCAAGGGTTTGGCGGAATGTGGTGCCCTTAAATTGTTCCCGCGAGGTGTCCCCTGCAAAAGTGCCTTTTTTTTTTTCCACTACATCCAGGTAACGATATGCCAGTTCGTCTGCGCTGAACCGCCGTCAAAGGTGTGTCCCCTCCAATTGTTAATCCTCTTTTTCGCCCCCGGGGTGTGTGTACCATTATAACCATGGGAAAAGGTGAGCCACACAAAGGTGCCAAGCGAAGCGGCGCTCCAAAGGAAGCAGTGCTGTCGCTTAGCAGCAGTACTCTACGCATACCGTCCACACGAACGGACAAGAGGTAAGCAAAGGGACGAATTCGCTTTGCGCTCCCATACCCAGTGCGTCAAAAGGGACAAGTTATGTTGCCCTTTGTTCGAAGTGACACATGAGTGGGACATTTTCCACAGGGGGGAACAACCCACAAAGTGAACCACGGAAAGGTAATCCCAGATAGGTACATAAGACCCAGCTGCATAACGCCAATCAGCGTATACACACAATACCCTGTGATGCTGTCGGCGGATGCGAAATGTTAATCCCACGCCTCACCAAAAGAAAGAAGCAGAAACGTCGTTTGAGTTCTTCCCGCGGAACTACCCAACGGGGGAATAAAGCTTCCCCAAGCTTCCACCCTTTGTGAAGAACACCTTCTCCTTTTTGTAAATGTACAAAGTGGTAGGTCCCTTTTTCTATGTTTTTTTTTTTTTTTTTTTAGAAATCATTTTGATCATGTGTGGAGGGGTACGGTAACGTAGATTCCACGGGGGGGCCAGCAGGGGGAAAGGAAAAGAACATTTTTCCCCTTGTTGGCAGAGGTGTACAGAGATATCCGTGGCTGTGTTGTTGGGGAAAGACCGTACATATGCAATATGGGTATGTATCTTTTTTTTTTCTTTTTCTTTTCCCATTTTACGATTTCACGGGGATCCCCTCTTGAAATTCTTTTTCGACTCATCACATTTGCGCATACGCGCGTAATGTTATTCCATTTTCCATTTCTTCTGTTTTCTCTTTATTTTTTGTTTATTTTATTTTTAATTTTTTTGTAACCTACCGCTGAGCAGAAGGGGATTCATAAGAGCCTCTCCGCAAAATGGTTCCCATTTGAAATAGTACATATGGCATGTTGGCCATGTAGGTACATGCGATGTTTTCCCCGCAAGCGAAGTTTTGCTTCTTTAGGGCACGTGGCTTGGCTCCCCAGGGGGAGGAAGCACTTTCCCGGCGCAGACGGGTGAGCGGTTAGTCTGCTGTTCGGTTAATCTGCTACCCGGCCAGTCGGCTGCTCCGTTAATCTGCTACTGGGCCAGTTGGCTGCTCGGCCCATCAGCCAATCTCCTCCCCCGCCGCTACGCTACGATGCCGGTAGATCAGCGCGAATACTTACTTAGTCGAAGCGCCCCCACTTGAACGCCGTCGCTCCCCCCCCCCCTGCGCGCCATGGCGAGGTTCCTGTTGGCCCTCGTAGGGCTGTTGTGCTGGTCCGCAAGCCGGCACAGGAGCGCGTCGGGGACCACCTCCAACAATGGCAGCGATGGCATGTACGTCTCCCACGCGCATTCGTTTAACTCGCCCTTCACTGTAAACGACCTGAACAACGGATGGGTACTTAACTACTCAACGGCCAGCACAAACAAGTACCTGGTCCTCATCCCAAATGTGTACAATCGAAGAGGATTCCTCTACCACAGCAAGCCAATCCCCTCGGACACCCTCAACGTCGAATTCAGTTTCCACATAAAGAAGCAATTCTACAAGGAGCATATAGACGATAGCTACTACAAAAAGAACCAGGTAAAGGAAACAGATTATAAAATATCCACTGAGGAAAAGAACAAAATAAATGGCTTCGCCTTTTGGCTTCTACCGAACGAGTTTTCCCTCCACAGTGTAAATACTGAAGGGGGGGTCCCACTTGAAGAAGATCAATATGGACTGTATGGATTTAAGGAAGATTTTAACGGCATCGGGGTGGGGTTCCAATTACGTGGAAACGATTTAGTTCTATCTGGATTAATTAACAATGGAAAGAGAAAGCTAAACGTGAAAGACAACACTACAAAGAGTTATCGCCTGAGCCTACTGAGCATGGATGAGCTAATCTATGTAAAGATAACGACACGGAAAAATGAAATGCGTGTTTATTTGTTCAATGGGAGAAACAACAGCTATATTCACAGCTTAACGGTGAAGAAGCAGATACCCAAGGAGAATTACCTCGGGTTCAGTGCCTTTAATTATAAAGAGAATGAACAACTGACCAACACCAATGCAGAGAAGTATGTACCCACCTTTGTAGGCATCACACATGTTTCAATCTCTTTTAGCGACATTTTCCCTGAAGCCGAGCAAGGACAACAGTACTCCGGAGAAGAAACAGACTCAATGGATGGAAACGCAGAGGAGCACTTGTGGAACAGCTCCATTGATAATACCCTTAACGGACTGGACTCCAGTCATCTCAGCCAAGCGGAAGTGTTGAAGTCCCTAGCCGCTACGCTGCAAAAATTCATGTCGTACCAAAAAAGTAGCGAAAAAAAAATCCTGCAAAGCCTTAACATGCTGCAGGAGAGTGTCCAGTTTCTACATGCAGATTTAAAACAAGTGAAAAAAAATCTTGTGAACAAATCGGAAGATCCAAAACACTTTCAAAAAATCTTCACGACCGAGTTGAGTGGCCTCAAAAGCTTATTTCATTCACATGCACAGCATAGCAGGAAGAATATCGAAGACATCACGGATAGGCTGACAAAACGGATTAATGAGAACCAGGAACTGAAGCTCCTCGCGGAGAAGGCCCAGAAGCTGGAGACCATCATCAGCAAGGGGAACAGCACGTCGTACCTTTTTGCCTTTTCCTTTGCTGTCCTCATCATTTTGACCCTCATTTTGATTTACAAAAAGATTAGGGACGTTGAGAAGAAGCATATTTTGTGAGGCCAAACCGGCGGTGTGTGGGAAGACATCTTTCTTTCTCACCCCTTAGAGTTAGACAGCCTCAGTTTTTTTCTCCACCTTGTCCGTGTTATCCATTTTTTGGGTACCGAGGCAAGGGATCCTTTGTGTTTCTCCGGAATACTCGTCAGATAGTTTCCCCACTGATGTGTATTTTTTTTTTTTTTTTTTTACATGTGCCACTTCGTTGGTACGTCCTTGGTACCCCCTTTTGGGGGGAAGAACCCCTTTTTTGCCACTTCGCCAATTTTGCCACATATCCCAAAGTGCTTACTGAAAAAAGGGAACAATTGTCAAGCCCAAGTGATCCATTTTTTTTTTCTCTTTGGGACAGTATGTGTGTCCCCGCACACGAGGAGGATCATCCCCCCCTTTGATGGTAAAACACACCACATTGGAAGGACCCCCCCTCCTCCAAATGGGCACCTTCCATGCGTAGTTGAGACGTCCGTGGGGTAAGTTCACCCCACACAGTGGATTGAGATGACAACTTTGGGTTCTACCGCTCCTCTGCCTGTTCTTTTTGCTCTTCCCCCCGGGGGGCGAAGCAAAGCAGACAACCTTTTTTTTTTTTTTGCCTGGGGATCATTCTCAAAATTGAAGCTGCTTGCAGATGATTCATCCAGCTCGAGGTTGGCTTGCCTGGTGCCTCCCTTTCTTTAACCCTTTGGCTTGACTCTCGTTAACCCCCTGGCGTACCTGCGAGGATCCCTACAAAGAGTTTTCCAGGCTGGGACGGACGGATTACCTCCCCGTGCGGTTGAGACGTTGTCATAAAGGGAGAATTTTTTTTTTTTCATTTTCAAAAATAATGTTGCCTCTTTGGTGCGGCGAGCTGGGACGTTTCATTTTTACTATTTTCAAAATGGATCTCTGTTCGTTGGCGTCCACGGAGAAGGAGACAAAGTGCCGCCCACTCACATGTGTACTTACGCTTTGCTTTCGCTTATTTTCAACCCTGTTGTTCTGCTGGGTATCTTTTTCACCAAAAGCGGTGAAAGCAGACGGGCCAGCAGAACAAAGCGTAGACAAAGAGGCAACAAACGATATGCCACACTGGGGAGGAGAAAAAAAAAAAAATGGTGTAGATTATGAGCAAGGCAAATCAGCCCCCTCCCCCCTTTTGTGACTCAACCCATGGCACATGCGTAAAAAAAATTTTAAAAAGAGGGCAGCCTCTTCTGAACAACTAAATGGCTTTCCTCTCGCAGCTGTGTAACAGCGCACGTCTGCCCATACCAACTGGGCGTGTAACTGGTGTGTAACTAAGTTTACCCCGCATTATTATTATCTCCATGCTTATCTGCACGTGTTAGTGTACGCTCACGGCAGGACGCGGTGGTGCCCCCCAGTCCGTTCATCTCGAGAGAGAAAGGCCCACGCAAAGCTCAATCCCAATTCGCTTAAGGGTCAGAGTTGGAAAAAAAAAGACATGCAAAAATGGTACACTTGTTCCTTTGGCATATAAAGTTTTACGTTTACACACAAAAGTGCCCCTTTTTGGCATTTTTCGACTTCTCCATTTTGCCATTTTGGTATTTATTTTTTTTCTCTCTCCACATTTTAACTGCAATTAATTAAGACGTGAAACTTGTACGACATCGTTATGTACCGCGCTGTCTTGTTCTCCTCCTACGCTTCCTCCCCCCTGCTTTTTTTTTTTTTTTGTAAAATTGTTACCTTTTACCCTTCTCCTCCAACCATTGGACCAAGATGTGGACGAAGAGCTTAAAATCGTTTCTCTTGTTTTGCTTAATAAGCGCACACCTGAGTAATTTGAAATTTCAACATGCGCAGGCGGCAGACAGGACGGCATTAGCCTCATGGCAACACATCGCGATGGGGTGATGGAGCTACTGCTTCACGTAGTGGGCTCCCCACGGGCCCTCCGCCTCCTTCCTGCGCGGTGCCACTTTGTTTCTCCATTTCGCCATTCTGATTTATGCCTTTCGCCCCTTGTACAGATTTTGTCTTCAGGAAAGACAAACACTCCCTAGGAGGACACCTTGCGACAGACAGGTAAGCGAAACGCTCTGCGTGGTGTAGAAGCACAGATGGGGCTGAGAAAGAAGCGGGTGCTGCTTACTACTCGTGGGACAGACAGAGAAGGGGACCTCTTATTGTCTCTGAGTGATTCCACAATGGGGCGAGAAGGATGCTCATAAGGCTCCCTCACTGGGGACTCCTCATGACAAATACGCACAGGCGCATGTACATAAGCGGTCACGTATGTATAGGCTCACTTCCACATACTGGATCTTCCCCCGCATGCCCCCCCAGAACTCCAAACAATGACCCCCCTTTACGAAATCGGATGCTTCAAGAAGAAGCCAAGCCCTACTGCGACCAGTGGACAGAATGGTCCAATTGTTCAAAGACCTGCGGCATGGGAGTCAAACTGAGGGTTCGAACCAGCAGCAAAAAGGAACACTCTCGAGAATGCTCCAACATCACAGAAAGTGCAGTTTGCCTGATGGACAATTGCATAGAGTTGCTCGATGCAAGAGAGCGAGATGAAAAAGAAGTAAAAGAAAATGAGAAAAACCGTTCCAGGAGGAAGTATCTCCTAATTTTTAGCCTCTTCTCAGGCATAAACGTAGTCATACTGCTCGTATGCGTAATTATGTCCATCAAGAAAAAAGTCATCTAATTTAGTTGTCCTTCAAATGTAGCGCGGTGAAGAAAGTGTTAACTTTGCAGAGATCTGGTCATTCTTCCTAATTAGCATTTTTTTCTCTCTCTCTCTCGTTTCCTTTTTTAATGTACAAAGAGGTGCCTGTTGTGATGCACCCCATTTTTTGTGATTTTTTACGCTTTAAAGAGCTTTTTTTTTTTTTTTTTTTTTTGAAGCCTCTTTTGAGCGTTTTTTCTAACCTTTGTGAGTAGTCCTCTTCAGAACATTTTTCTTAAGATTATACGAAACGTTGTCACTTTGGAGAAAATTGGCAATCCTACTTTGTTTCTTAAAAAATAGAGAAGATTTGTCCGAGAAAGGTTTGGACAGATTTGTCCCTTCTCCTACCACGCTTCGCAGCGATTTTCCCAGACATGTTGCAATAATGAGAAGCAGCTACGGTGAATTTTCTCACAAATGGGCTCCATTAGGTGCTCCAAGTCTGTTCCTTCTGCAACACTTTTTTTGTATGAACCGTTCAGGTGAATTATGCTAAGTCGATGGCGTGTTTTTTTTAAACGCCCAGCTGCTTCTCTAAAAAGACACGTATATGCCCGCACACCTATGTGTAAGGACGTGTGCTGGGGAGTTCACCTCATAAGACAAACACCTGTTGTTGCGTTTGACTTCTTTTAAGTAGAGAAAAAGAAATGTTACCAATGCGTGGCGGCCTTTCCCAGGGGAGGCGCTTATTTCTCCCCTTTTAGGATTTACTCACCTGAGAAGATTTAGTTGAGTGCTTCATTGCAACTTCTCTGCCTCTTCAGATGGAGAGAACGGCGGCGTACGGACCGTTTGCAGATATTTTTTTCCTTTCACAGTGATCAGACAAAATACGCCGCTGATGTAAAACCCGCTTATTTTACAGAAAAGGGAAAATCCAATAAAGTGAAAAATTCTCCCCAAGCCGCTTACCTCTGCAGAACTCTTCGCACGATATATGTGCAACTTGCTCAAATAAATAAACTGCTGAACGACGAACTCTATTCTTTACCCTCCTGCGTCTTCACCAAATTGGACTTTTCTCCCACAGTATCGTGAATGCATGAGTGAAGAACCACACATTTGTTCAGTTCAAACGAATCCTTTGTGCTACATGGCCCTTTTTATGTAAGTACTTGCGGAGTGTAAACATTATGGGTGTTTTCTTCCCAAGGGGGGAGATGCGATGACCTTTTTCCTGATTCGCATTTTCCTACCATTTTGGAGGAAGATGAGCTGGGAAGTTAGCAAGACTAGTGAGCATTTCCCCTTCGGTGTGTATATGCTCCTTCGGGTGAAATGCTTCCTCGGCCTGTTCCTTCCTTTGTTCGCATGTACCTTAACCATACACCTTTTTCGTGCAGGAAAGGCCCCCATTTAAGGGGGACCCAAGGAAGGCACCATCTCTTATTTAAAATTTCCCTTGAGAGGAAAACCAATTTTAGCTGGATGAACTACACTTCAAAACGGTAGCATAGACCTTTTCTAACCCGGACGGCGCAAACTTTGCGCGCCAGCTGGGTACATCACTTGGTTGCCCTTTTTCGCCTTCCTCACACGAGGCTGTGTTGAATTAATTTTTTTTTTTGTTCACACTTATCGGCGCCTTTGTTCTTCTGTTGTCCTTTTTCTGTCCTCTTGCTGTCCCTTTCTTGTCCCTTTGCCGTCCCTTTGCTGTCCCTTTCCTCACTTTGCATTCCTCTTCGTGCTCGCAAAAAACGCAAATTAATGCCGCGAGGGGGGGAGGGGGCTAACGACGGCCCAGTTAATGGCACAAATCTGAATAAAATTTGAAAAAAGAAAAATGGCAAAGACGCGCTCGTGAGCTTACTTGCATACATGTGTACTTGTTTTCATATCTTCGCACATGTGTACTTTTCCTCTCCTCCGAGCGCATGCTCACCTGAGTGTTTCCCTTGCATGCTGACGAGACGCCTGTTTATCTCCCCCTTCACCTGCATGTGCCTTTACGCAACTGCCTGTCCGCCCAGTACATGCACAAGTAGGAAAGCCCCCCGACCACTGTGTCTTCCGCATGGAAGGTGGTTAAGGTGTTTCATAGCACACACTTGGTGGCACTGGTCGCGCGTTTACCACCTTTTGCGCTCATTTGGAGGTGATTTTCGGTCCATTCGTTCACAGTACCGAATTGTCAGGTACGCCTCATTCTTTGGTCCTTTTTTGTCCTTTTTTTTCTCCCTCTTTGCCATTTTTTGTCCCTTTTTTTATCCCCCTTTTTATGTCCACCTTTTTGTCCCTTTTTTTGTCCCTTTTTTTGTCCTTTTTTTGTGTCCCCTTTTGTCCATACCGCCGCGGCCACCCCTTAAAAGAGGCCAAAGCAGGAAGCCGCAAATTCATTTACAACTCCCCTTGGGCTTCTTCTAATCAACGGAACTTCTGTGCAGTGCGCAACGTTGTTAAGAATATGGGGGCATTCTTCGAGACATGCGTAATGTTACATGTTTGCCTTCCACACGAATGCGTAATTTTTTCTGGCTAAATTTTGAAGACTTGTTCTGTGTGTGGCTGAGCGTATGAATGCGCGTATGACTGCCTACTCGCGCCTGTTTCAGGGGCAGGAAGGACATCACCGCCGATGCCGCCTACCTAGTGACGTAGAGTTCAAGTGCCCATCCCTTATTCCCATAGAGGTGAACTTGGGCCTGTGAAAAAGGTGAAACAGGGTGTTTTTCTGTCATTCCATCAGCTTGTTTTTCGTCTGTCCACTTCGCCGCCTTACCATCTCACCCCCTTCCGCCAAGATGACGGACGAGTACCACCTGAGCATCCACCTGAAGAAGACGGATGTGCTGAAGGAGCATTTGAAAGAAATCACCAAAGCTCTGCATGATGAGTTGGGGTATTTCTGCCCAAGTGATGGAGTGAAGATCTCGAAGGATCAGTCTAACGAATTTGCTAAGAGCAAATGGAGAATCCTTTACTCCTCCTGGAGGATGGAAGATTTCACGAGATTGAATTTTAAAAATGTACTCAATATTCTGAAGAGAAATCCCTACGTGATGTGGTGTGTTTACTTCCTCATCGTCTTTATGTGTGTTTATCTGTTAACATTATTGCTGTATACGAAATGCTTTCGGAGGTTAATTAAATCGATTCATTGCAAAAGGTGCAGAAAGAAGGAAGAGAAACGGGAGAAAGAAGAACAGGAGAGTGAAAATAACGATATACTGGAAAATGTGAAGAAGCGAATCTTTAGCATTATGACGTACGTCTTTTTGAGTTCGCTGCTATGTGTTCTTATTGGCTTAGGTATCTGGTTTATTGTTTTATTTATCAAGACGAGGAATGGGATTTATAGCAATGTGTGCAGGGCGTCTACTTCGATTGAGAACTTCCTCACCGACCACTGTTCCGTGGAGGATAGCAGGGTGGATTCTTCCTGCTACTCCCTGGAGCACATCATCACTGACGCGGTCTCCATCGTGGGGCAATATCAGGATATCAAACTGGAGATAAAGGAGGACCTTCTGGTGGACCAGGACAGGTCGATTCCGCAACTCACAGGTAGGTCTCCCGTCTGACGCATGCCTTAGCGCCGGATTAGCACGTCTACACTTCGTCTGATAAGCATTTATACACTTCATCTGATAAGCATTTATACACTTCGTCTGATAAGCATTTATACACTTCGTCTGATAAGCATTTATACACTTC